TTATATTACATCATATATAAATTATTTAATGTAATTGTGTAAAGCTTTATATGTACAATGAGAAATTAGAAATATGAAGATTAAATTAAGGTTAAGTCACTTAATATTTATATATAATCATCGTATCAAAGTGTATTTTTTGAGTTTGCCTTACAGGTTCAGGAATATAAGGAGTCTCTTATAACTAAGGTAATTTTTTTCTCTCTTTTGATTGATAAATCTACAATTTTAGATTCAAAAAACATTACTTAATAATATATGTATATCAAACTACAGAGATTATAATATTTTTTTATATTTATATTTATTTTTATTATGTTTGTTTATTCAGGCAGAAGAGTTGTTAGTGAAAGGATTTCCGGAGAAAATAGTTAAATTAAATGAATTATTAGAGACACCTGGATTTTGTAATCGAAAGTTGTCAGATGTACACCAAGACTTAAATGTACCCATTCCAGACCCTATAATTCTTAATCATTCCGAAGAAGCTCCTGCTACAAAAAAGCTTAAATTGGACAATAATGGAGAAGAGACCAGTGGAACCAAAGTTCTGATACTTCCAAGTGGTTCTGTTCCTTGCAATAAAAAGTTGTGTGATTTGATTCACATAGTTAAACCCTACATTAGACAACTTTTGGAGGATTCTAATTTAGTAAGTATTAAGCACACCGCGATTTATATTTAAATTAAATCTACATTTTTATAGCAACTATTACTTTATACAAAGAATAATATATTGTTAGAAATTGTATTAATACAAGTTTATAAAGTTGTGTAATATACTTTATTATAAACAAAATTTTAATTTTTCATTATTAATATTATTCTTTAAGCAATTGTTAAATGTCTTTTCTAAATTCATCAATTATTTTTCATTTTTTAGCTAAAAATGTGGATTTCTTTTTTAATTCCAAAAATCGAAGACGGGAATAATTTTGGAGTATCTATTCAAGAAGATACATTATCTGAAATTCAATCAGTTGAAAGCGAAGCCGCAGCATTTTTCGATCAAATTTCTAGGTAACGTAAAGAAAAAACAACATACAGATAAATGTCTATGTGCAGTCAATTTTGTTCAAGTAGTATTTAACATTTACATATTAATGCTGATTAAATTAACATATATAGTTAACTAAAAAATTAATTAACATATAGTTAATTAAAAAATCTTATTTGAACTCTTTTATCTTTACAGATATTTTATCTCTAGAGGAAAGATTATTAGTAAAGTTGCGAAATATCCCCACATCATTGATTATAGAAGAGCGATTCAAGAATTGGACGAAAAGGAGTATGTAAGTTTGTGGCTTGTCATGTGTGAAGTTCGCAATCGTTATTGTTCACTACACGATCTCGTGATCAAAAATCTGGAAAAGATCAAACGGCCACGTTCATCCAATGCACAATCCTTGTACTAATAGGTACGGTTTCACGCGCTGTACTTACGGAATAATTCAACACAAACATAAGTCAGAAATATAATAATAAAGTAAAATTCATCTCCTCCTCCTATTGACACAACTCAATTGCCTTGACATTAATCCATCATTCATTTTATCAATTAAGTATGGCACTATAAATAAAACAAATAGCTACACTTAAACTCTACGAAGTTGTATTACATAGATTATACTTAACTTATTCGTACATTTAAGTTCATTGACTTTTTGTTTGTCACTATATATAAAAAGTATCAGTTAGATTTTAAGAATAAAGAAATTAAGGAACTTTTTCAATTTTCTTAACAGAAACTTCACATTTCTTTTGAAATCATATTTTATTCTATAAACTTCATTGATATGTGAAATTTCGACTTCAGCATTATACACATTACACATAATTTCTTTACATGAGTATGTTACGACGTTATGCAGTGTAGCGAACTTGTATGTAATTTTGCCAATTATATAATTCAAGCACTTATAAAGAAAATATAAATGAGTGGTCGAAGTGAATTTAGTTTAGTGAAGTGAATATTGCATCGTTTGTAATTTATATCTGTAAGGAGCTTAGAAGACAAATCAAGCTATTAAATAATATGAAATATAAGTAGTAGTTTTTGTAAATGTTTACACTTTGTCGCGATAAAATCATAAATATAGAATGAACACACAAGATTATATGGAATATAGTATTTGCTACTTAAAATAAATTTTGTTTTAAGCTTGCAAATTGCAAAAAAAATGAAAATAAATTATATACAAGGTGTCCTAGAATGACTGCTAAATATTTCGTGCATAAACCGGTCTAAACAGAATTGAGAAATCCTCTATTCATTTTACAATTTTCGCAAAAATTAAGAAGATACTAATAACTAAAAATCATCGAATACTCATACAATTTTTTACTCGAGTACTATTAAGTTTATAGAAAAACGAGATAAAAATTGTTTATTTTCTTATAGTTTTAAGAATTTTTTCAAAATTTTTTATTTATTTTTTAATACTGCATTTTTATATATGTATATTGGCAACTATTTTGACTAACATGAGAAAATGTAATATTAAAAAATTCTTTAAAAAATTCTCTGAGAATTCTATGAGGAGAAAATAAACAATTTTGTCTCTTGCTGTTTTTCTGTAAAGTTGATAGTACTTGATAATAAAAAATTATTGAAAATCAATATTCGGTTTTTAGTAATTATTATCTCGTTAACTATTTCAATAATTGCAAAATTGTAAAGGACTTTTCGACTCAGTTTAGCCCACTCTCTACCTATGCACAAAATATTTAGCGGTTAATCTGGAACACCCTGTACACACACACACACACACACACACATCCTTTTTTATATAGTCAAATGTAAAAAAATCGATTATATTTTCTTAACAAGATAATTAGTTCAGGTTGACAAACATTACTTTTCAATTACTTTGTCATTACTTTCTTTAGTAAACAATTTAATGACGATATTGCAATTTTTTATGATGGTAACGCTAACTAACTAAACGCTAAGATTGTATTAAAGTTAGAAAAGTCACTTTGAAAAGTAATTTGTCATCATTACGCGTTACTAAACTTACTAAAAAAAGTAATAAGTAACGAGTAACCTAACGTTACTCGTTACAAGTAACACGAGTAAAAAAGTAATACGTTACAAATTAATGGAAAAAGGAGTTATTTTTTTCAATAACAAATAACTTTTTCAATCCAACGATTGATTTTTCTAACTCTGATGTTAGCATTACCGTCATAAAAAATTCACAATGTTATTATCAAATCGTTATTATAACAAGGTAATGATCAACAAAGTAATGCATTACTAATTCTGATTACACATATTAAGGAATAGAAAAACAGATAGAGACACGATTCACGATATAATATTTTATATTCTGTATGGTTTATATAAAAATTTATATAATTAAAATGTCATGATTCACGATATAATATTTTATATTCTGCAATTGAATATTTTTTTTCTGAAGTGAAGTTTTTCTACATATATTAATTTATTATCTTTCATTTCTTTCATATTGTTTTTCCATTTTTACTTTCATGTGATTATGCAATAAATATTGAATAACATAGAAAAAAAATATCACTTTACGAACATTCATCTAATTAATAATAAAGACATGATTAGAATACTGCTTTTTAGTATACACTGTTTATATAAAATAGTACTGATATTTAAATGTATTAAAATATTCGTGATAAAGTATGAAAATATTGCATATTTTCGCTTATGCAATGAAACGTCACACTGTTCCTTTTTTCGTCACGATTCCATGAAAAGACCAGGATTAAGATAACAATGTTTATTAAATCCCAATGACTGTACAGATGACGTCTGACATTCATGATTTGTTGTTCTAAGATTTTTCAATTCTGCATCAATCTGTAAATTATAATTGTAGATCATTGTACTATTTACCATCATATTTAAATATCTCATAATATTTACTATGTTATAATAATTACCATGTTAAATAAATCTTGGACGTGATTTTCGTGAGCATGTTTCATGAATATTTTACAAAGAATTTGTATAAACCAACTACCAGTTTTAGAATCTCGATAAGAAACATATCCAGGCAAAGTAGATTGAACTATAAGCATATCTGAATAATTTCTTATTGTTTGAATGCGAGGTATTTCTATATTGGCTTCATTTGTTGACTTCATTGCACAAGAGTCTGTAGTGATTCTGGAGTGAATTACACCGTTTTGTTTTTTCTTTCCTCTATAAAGAATATGAAAAAAAGAAATATAATAAAGCAAGATATAAGAAAGATAAAAATTAAGATAAACGATCAGAAGACCAGATATTTTTAAATGATACTAATTTTTTCTAAATTTTCAATTCAACAAAAAGTAAAAAAATTAGAAAAAAATCAACAAATATAGATATTACTATGAAATACTTTTGTACCTGCAAAGTTGGAAAATAAATATTTTTGGTTTCTCTGCGAGTTGAGGGCAAGCTTCTGCGGTAAAGTAATCACAGACTTCTGTGCATAGAACTTTTTCATAATTTGCTTGCCTGCTTGCGATATGATAATCAGTACCTTGGATCTCTGTGTTACTCTCTTCGTCTTCCATACCATGACTTGTAACGATTACAAAGCATGAATCGACCTTATTTAGATCATCTCTTTTTGAAAATTCTTTAATTATATCTTTCATTGCCTGATAAAGAAAAAAAAATAATTTGATATTAACTACATGTTTCTTAGATTATTTTATATATATATATAT